CATGATCGACTAATTTATCAAGAATTAATTCATCGGATGCGACAAGAAGATCAAGAATATTAGAGGCTGATTGATTGGTAATATCAAGAGTTCCCGTATAGATATACCTTTAAAATTAAAACAATAAAAATTAAGAAATGTAAAAAGTTCATACAAATTATCCCATTAATTTGACATACCGAAGAATCAAAAGAAATATAGCTGGAGAAATATTTGGTTTTTTAAAGGTAACAATACTACTTTTATGATTTATCCAGTTATTAGATAAAGAATTTGTAAAATAAGGAGACCTTGCACGCAAAATATTCGAATGCGCATTGAATTCTTTAAAATCAGATTTTTCTCCAACTTGAATAATAATATCATAATCATCAGATTTCTCAAAAAGTTTAGAAAAATCCTTTGAAAGATCTTCAAAGAAGTTGGTCACTGCCATTATTGTCGTTTAAGTGAGTAAACGAAGGATCAACATAATACGCAGTTTATGATTGACACGATTTGTCACACAGATCACGTGAGTAAATTTTTTCCTATTGTTACTATTGTAAATTGGGGGAGCGAGTAACGGTGCACGGTTTAGCTCCAATAGTTAACGTGGTTTGGGTTTAATGATCTAATTACTATAAGGGTAGGTAATATCGATATGGTTTTATAACTTATTTATAACCAGGTCGATCGTGGTTAATTGAAGGGGTATTAATTTAAGGGTGGATCGGGAGTCTAAGGGTTTAAGCAAGGGTGGTGTTAGTATAAAACGTACAACAATAAGTCTATAACTTAAAAGTGATCTAAACGTTGATCACTATAATAATAAGTCAGGTGTTAATCACAAAACGAGTCTCGGGTTATCTTAAGTTGTAATGTCTTCAATATGTATATTATCAAGGATACGGCTCTTTATTATTCAGGGAAAGGTCTATTCAGCCTCGATGCTTACTTCCTTTATGCTAATAAAGAGACACAGAGTATTCCTATTCAATAACTTTATTAACGTGGTGAGGAATCAAGTATTTATTTAACAAATGTTATAGATTTAATTGTGAATTTATATGGTCGGGGAATTTCAAGAGTAAATTGTACATATCGGCCAATTAGAAAAGTCCCCTGATTTTTTTTAAGGGATATTTTTAAATTTAAATTCCGACTATCTCATAAATATAGCTAATATAAACATATTATACACTATGAGTTGTAAGAACTATCGTATTACTTTTTGTTATGTCTAGCTTCACATCAAATATGTTGGATAAAACTTCAAAAGGAACAAATTTGCATATGATCATTATTTTATTTATGAAATTAAAATATTCCAATGTTAACGAATGAGGATTGAATACTAAAAATTGTAAAGCAGAATCATAAAATATCAAGCTTCACTTTTTGACTATTGTTAACCGGTGA